GAGTAGTGTAGAGCACAGATGAGGAAGTTCACACATCCAAGACGCAGCCAACAGTACCTATCCTACTCCCATCAGGGTTGGCCACCACAGACTGTCGGCTCCCATCACTCATCGAGCCAGGGAATCATTCCCATGAGCATCCCCCGTCAACCACAGGCAACACCGACGGCCCGAACTGAGCAGCCTACCGTGCAGACTGGGCGGCGCATCATACATCAGACAAGTCCTCTAGGCTGACTGCTGGCCTCACTCTACCGCCTATAAACCTTTCGCCAGAAAGCTGGTGGATACACTCCGCTCCCCGTCAAAATAGCCTTCCTCTTCCCGCTAAATCACGGCTGAGTGCAGCCCGGTGAACCCGATAATCAGGCAGTATGCTAGGCTCGCTGGGTGGCGGCGCCCCTGTCCTGCTCCCTTCTCTGCCCCGATAGGTAACTTCGCTCTCTGTGTGCGGGTACACGTGCGCTCGGGTCTACCCGGGTAGTGCCGACCCCGATTGAACTAAGGGGATTGCCACCACTGTGTCGAGAACGCTATCACATGGGGAGTTCGGCAGGCAGCACCGGCAACTCTGAGGGAGACTTCGAAAGGGGCCTACTACCAGATGGCTCAGTTAGGCTCCCACCTCTAATTCGACAGTGCAGGCCATAACGACTCCACTCGATAGTTAAATCTCCAATTCGTGACTGGCCTCACACCATTCCCATCGCTAGGATGGGCAACATCGAATGAATCTTCCACAAAAAATACGGCCAAATACATCCGCTTCCTCTATGTGTCGAGCCAGACCACCATCCCCTCGACTCATATCGCTAGTTTCTCCGATCGTCCAAGTAATAGAATCTGCGATAGTTACTAGGCTCGCCGCCCGTCCAATCCCCCAAACTTTCATTCATAAATCTTTCACTAGGACATGGAAGTATACACCGCCTGTATACAACCTCTCCCGGGCGCAGCCTATAATACTAACCCGTCCAAACTACTAACCTACAATTAAAACTAACACTACCATAAAATTCCCAATAACAAAAAACCCCTACCTATCACTTTATTTCACCCGATTCCAAAAAGAATCGAGTGAATTCTCCACTTCCCATTCCCGCCATATCCGCCGTCCCGATACCTCCGCGCAGCTCGTTTTCTTGATAACTTTTCCTATACTAATTTTCACCCCAAACTAACCGTGGATTCTTGGTCGCCGCCTCTCAAAACCCCGAAATCGGGTTTTGGTTTGCTCGATTTCATCAAGAATCGAGCGAACTAGGAAACTCTCTAGCCCGACATGTCCATGGTTTCGCCATCAAGATTGGCGAATGAATCTGATGCGAAATGTGTCCTGATGCATCCCCCACTTCACTACGCCCCCACCTCGTTCCTCTCGCTAGCTACCCTTTTCTCTTCGTTCCTCCCTACCCGATCGCGCCCGTTTTTGCATCCCGCCTTCTTCACTATCGCATGCATCTGGCGCGATAACACGCCCTGGTTCAGCCCCCGCTTTTCCACTGTGCCATGACTCTGTCCCCACCACGCAGCGCTACCCGGCACGCTACCTGCCCGCTGCTCTCCCGCTGTTACATTCTTCCTTCTCCCTCTGCGCACACCCGGTGCCGAAGTCTGTCTGCGTTCGTCCTTCGTCCTCCTATCGCCCGACCTTCCTCCGACCGGTTTGCTTCACTTCACCCCTGCCATTCTACTGCTGCTCGGGGCTGTGCTGCCCGACCAGCTACTCCCCGTCGCCTCTGGCTGCCTTCGTCCTCATCACCCCCTCCTTGTTCCGAACGTACCTGGCGGGACCCCGCGCCTAGGTTCAGCCGCCCCTTTCCACTACTCCGTCCTCCGGTTTACGGCAGGCCCCCCCCCCGGCGCGAGCCGCTGTGACAGCGCTTCCGCACGGCTCCAGTAGGAGTGAATGAGCAGCTGGGCGCTGCCTCTCAATTTATACTTCTAAAACTCTCTGGTCTGCTTGTACCTTCCCACCGCGGCCTCCCTTTCTACCTCAACTAACCCTGAGGGAAAACCCCCAGCCAGCCCAGCTGCAGGACGATTTCGGTCAGTCTTCCGCCCCTATGCCCCAGTCCGTCGGGCGGACTATTCGACAACTGTTGGTACGCATCTTTACAAGGAGCCCACCCCCCTTGTCGGCTCCCATTCTAACAACACTGGTCACCCTTTCGGGTCCCCAGCGGGCAAGCCCCCACACAGGCCGTCCTACAGTTGAGGGCGTGGGCCTACCGCTGGCCCGTGGCTCGGTTCCATACGGTCTGCAACAGGCCGTAGTACTGCGGCGGGCCTTGCTATAGCGCCCCGGGCATAGTCCGCCAGCTCGCGGGTCCCAACGGCCCGCTTACACTCAAACCTCTCACAACAAACCACGGGGGCGGCCAGTACACCCGCCAAAGGCCCCGCCGCTGATATTTCCTCCCTCGCCGTGGGTCAAAATACCCACCATCCGTCCAAAGCACCGTGCGTTTAGAGTCCTTGACTACCGTGACGACCATTGAGTCCGGCGTCACGTCCGAATTACACAAAATGCCGGAGCTTACAAGAATTTAATACCCCAATTACTTGATATAAAATACAACCAAAACGTCGTGCGTCCCGCCGGCCCGTGACGCCGCGCACGCCTAGGCAGCGCACAGTTGCGTCTTACCGTCAATACCCCACGCCGCTACGCGCGCCTCTCACCCTGACAAGGACCTACGCTTCCGCTCACGTGCACGTCATCAGGCGGGCGATATTGCACTCGCGTGACTTGCAGAAAACACGCCAAATACCCTTGTAAGGGTATTTGGTACGATAGTCTTCCCGGACCTTATTAAACGATGACCTCGTCGCACCAAGTATTTCTATTTAACTATAGTCTTCAGAAGAAGTACATGATAACTCTCTCGAGTTCTCAACTTCGACTGAAATAGTCATCTAGCTATATCGACACTAGACCTCGTCTCCTTAAGACAATTCGTGCAGAAGTTCAAGGTCGAAATTACCATTCAGTTCCTCATCAAAAATACAAATCTATAATAGCCGAGTAATCGGCTAACCACAAACACTCCTCCATTTCTAATTTAACAAAGTGGATGAACCCAGTTTCCACCCACTATAACCACGGACAGGGGGTCATCCAAAACCAAACTTAGGACTACAATACTTCCAGCCTCCTTGAGCGATGTTTTATCGCGCCGGACATACTGATCACCCTACCATTGGCTAAGACTCAAACTCAGTGATGGGTCAAATTTCAGAGCCTCTGTCTCCAGGTAAATTCTTCACTTTTCACCCATCAATTACTCAAACTCAACCAATCTATATGCTCTTTTTACAAACTCTTTTTCAAAAGAACACCTCATTGTGAGATTTTATCAGACGCCCCAATCTTTCAGCTAATCTAGAATATTAGGGTGTTTGACCCCATCATACATACCACAAATGTACCTTATGGGCGGGGCCCCGTTAAGCCCAGTCCCCCAAGGCACTATTACCATTCAAAAGCCCCTCATTTTACTAACTCATCATAGGCATGGGCGGTGATATTCACTTAGTCTTTCAAAATAAGGGAAATCACCCCTCTTCCCCATAAATCCTACCTTTGCGAGTGAGATCCTTCACTTTTGTCACACCTTTTATCAATCAAACCCATAAGTTTTGCTCAGTGAGCAACCCTCGTAATCTTCCTCCAAGTAAAACTTCAACGCCACTTTCAATCAAGACTATAGCCGATTGGAGGGTCCCATAACCAGGCCGATCCTTCCTGCCTTAGATGACGCTCCCATCAGCTATTAGTCAAAACTTTTAACTCTTCTCGAGGAGTCTTAATCATGGAAGTCCCATGTTACAGACTAGACCGCTTGTGGCCCATAACAAGTTGAGTAAAGGACTCACAACCAGCTTTACCAACTTTTACGTGACTACGCAAGTGGGGATGCCGAATTGAACGGTTCTTTCCTTACCCCCTGCCACACACAGAACCACCCGGGACTAACAGCCACTGGCCGGGTAAGGGCTTTCTTACATTACATGTTTCCCTGCCATAGATGACACGCTTACTGGCAGCTGAGGCCCACAGAGTGGAACTGCTGATTTGGTCGAGGATAATACTCTGACTCCATAAAAATTCTCGTTAGGCCACCCCCTTCCTCTCAGGGGTGTTATAATAATTGTTAAGACTCCTTTCATTCTCAAGGAGAATCACCAAAAAAACCTCTCAGCCACCCTCCCACTCATGGATGGATTTGTTTATATAACCTTAAAGCATTCTTCTCTTGAAAATGCCCCTCAAACTTTGTCAGGCCGCCCTTGGGCATAACCTTTCTCTTAATATGATTTTCTGGACTCTTTGAGCCTTTCAGAAACGTCCCACAAATAATCACACTCTCTTCATTTCACCATTGATCGAAGTAATACACAAAAGACTTACAAGGCCACTTTTGATGAGAGTGCCAACGACAACCAAAACACGCACGATCTTGCAACCCGAGGGAATCAAAACCTATGTCAAGAAATAATTCCCAGAAGAAGATCAAGTTATCTCACGTCTCACATCCTTACAAATCTCAAATTTTCACCACTTCATATCCCAATCAACCAGGTTGTATAGCGTACCATACAAGTTACCTATGCAGAATGATATCAAACGTTCTCGCAAAGTTGGGTAGCGTCAACGCACAGTCGACAACTTCTTAAAAGACCTTCACTCGTATCTGACAAGAGCTAAAGCCAGCTTAACGGGTGGATAATCAGATCCAAATTGTACGCACAATCCCAGAAAATAAAAACGCACACTCGAGATCAGAACTATATACGAGAAGAAAACTATGTCTCGTAACACTTATAGGTTTGGTAAAAGCAAAATAAACAAATAATCGCTCATAAATTCCACCAATCGGACCTACCGCACTGTCATGGCCTTTTGAGTGTCTATTTGTTAGTCACTTGAGATCGCTGACACCATTCTCATCTAGGCACACAACCTCACCTCTCAATTCATTTCTTTGCCATCTTACATCTGCGAGGGGTATGAACAGTCTTCTCACAACAAGCACATACTATCCTCGTCCACCGTTCTCGCCCTCTTCTATTCCGTCGTCCAGTTCGACTTACAGCTGACGATGTTCCCTTGTCGTCACACTCCTTACTAGGATCAGATGCATTGTGCGGCAGGGTCATACCAACTTCTCCCAGAACTCTTTGCTCCTCTATTCCCTTCTCGCTTGAAGCGTCAAGTGTCCTCTCACAGGTATGGGTTACAGCGACTCTTACTTCCGCCGGTATCTCTTTTCTCTCACCTCCCGACTCATTTTTCTTCTCTCTGCTCCACCTGTGATTTCGCCTGACGATCTCAGCACCCTTCTGAGTTCCATTTTTCTCAGCATCAGGGGTGCCTACTGCAAGATCATTCGACCCCTTCTCAAGCTCGCTCTTCTGACTATCCAACGCCTTCTTTCTTTTCCTCGCTTCCCGCAGGGTATGGCAGAGGTACTGGTCGAAATCCTCCTGTTTAAGGTTCTCTCGGATCTTATCCCATACTAGTCTCCCTTCTGTTCCACGAATCAAATCTCGCTATTCTGCATTCGTGAAATTCATGAGGAAGACAAAGCATTTGTCATGTTCTGACACTGCCCAGACCTTCCGCGATGCGCACTCATACTCTGCCAGGAAGTGCCCTACTGACACATAACTATACCGATCTATCTTCTCAAGATCATCTTTGGTCAGTTGTTCCTCACCTAGCCGGTACTTATTCTACATGTCATCATAGAACTTCCTCCACGATGACCATGCTCTTTTAACTAACCCACTGACTTCATCCTTCAAGCCTATATGAATATACTTCATCACTTCTTTCAACATCTGTTCCTCGTTCCATTTGCAGTGGGACGCTATCTACTCAAACTTGTCGAGGAAGTCAGAAACATGATCGCCTTTAAAGAAGTCGATCTTAACCTTGGGCAAACTGTCTCGCTCCCAATCTCGCATACCCAGTAGAGAGGCAAGTTCCTCGACCCCAATCCTTCCTTGAGGCTCCTCCATCTCGAGCTTCTTCGACCCCATCACCTGTTGAACAACAACGAGCGATGTTAGGGTCGAGACTCGAGGGAAGTTACGCAACTAAATCTAGTGCAGAATATATCCCACTAAAGTTGCCCCGATACTCATCACGAGAGCACGTGTAAGAACCTATTCAAAACAACGGCGATACCGAAGAGAGTCTTTAAGTAAATATCCATAAAAAATAAAACACAAACATTCACTAATAAGTCCCTCCAATCATAATTCAGGCATTAACCACTTATGATTGTCATCGTCGAGGCAAGGCGCGATGTACATACGTCGCATAGGTGGATATTCCATATACAAATACAAAATGCAGCACAACCCACGATAAATGACATATGCTAATAACAATAATTTTTACATGACAAACTCAAATTACTTGTAACTGACGGCACAATATGCTTTATAAACACCATATGAACGCAACTCAACTGCCAGTCATATAACAAGATAACTCTCGATAACATATTTTCGTATCCTATAAGGCAAAAGTAGGACTGACAATGAGTGAATAACATGATACAATTGTTACCCCGTTAAGTCTTAAGCGAAGTATATGTTTCAGAGGGGCGGTATAATCCTCTTAAAATAACATCTTGACTCATGAGCCCCGCTCTAAAGATCAAACCTCACTGCATCCCTCTCTGATTCCAGCGCTTGCATCTCACCGACCCTATCATGGTCAAATGGACATCCCCATCTATAGTTATCTAGGCAACGAATAGCGAATTCGCGCCTTTACAAATATGGTGACCCTACTTTAACAGGGGACGAGCTTAGGTCGCTACTCCAGATCCGCTCTTACTAAGCAGTAGCTGTTCCACTTGGCCATCACAATTTCGATAAGGTAACAAGCCCTGCCCTTTCCTCTCCTCTCAATAGATAATATAATTACTCTCCTTATCATAGGAAAGGTAACAACACCCCACTAATGAACCAGGAACATAGTTCCGGCGTGGGTCTCACTATCAGTTTCGATACTAATAACCGCTTCCTTAAGCCTCATCGAGGGAGTAACAACTCAAGAATGCATTTCCACTTAGGACCAATTATACACGCCGACTAACCCCTTTTTGGAAGAACCACCTTCCACAGACATAAGTTACCCCATTCACCCCTGGTCCCATGCCAGGCGTGGGTTTCATGCAGAATCTATGTCCTCGTGGAAGACAATCCATGCATACGCCATCAATCAGATATCAGACAAACCACACTGAAATCACGTATATAGAGACAACCAAAGAAACCATCATAAATGTCATACATACATATATCACATATAATTAACTCATAGGTTTCTCTTCGGACTAGCCAAACCGCTATCCTAGTGACCACTACTTCTCGAGATTTACCAATAGTTGGCCATACAGTCCGCAAACGACTCAAATCATCACCAACTCGCACTATCGCAGAGCCTAATCATCATACTGGCCATAGTACCTATCATATCATGTCTTACCCTAGGATCAAGGAAATATTCTTACAATTAAACTCCTCACTTCGCACTTCACCAGTCATCCCCTCATCCATGCTGTTCTCGTACGAGCAACTCTCTCTAACGCAGGGGTCATATAACTAGGGGAGATGCTCCGTCTTACTTGACTATCCCCAAGGCAGGCTTAACACAACAATCACGTAATGAGTCAATTAGCCTTTGATTCGAATCATAGGCATACTTAGCAATGTCAGTGCCACCTTACTCATTCCTAGCCAAATCGGGCCTACAAGGCATTAACTAAACTTATCAATCATTAAAGTCCAAAAGTCTTTTATCTCCATTTAATCGCATACTAAGCAGTGCTCCAGCGCATAATCAAGGCGCTTATCGATCTCAAGCGACCCTTACTACACCACTCAAAACCCCACTCACGGAGTTAACCCTCACAACAAAAAAATTGTCGCCGTTTTTTTTTTTTGTTGATCGTGGAGCCTCACCCCCGAACTGTTTAAAAACTGTTTTTCAACTGTTTATCCTGACACATGCACCATGGTCTACAGGAAGTGAAGGAAACCAACGTGCGTGACTTATGTAGTCCACATGAAGTGACATGATAAACAGTTGAACTTTGTGTTGATAAACTGTTGAGAATCTGTTTATATTCTGTTGAACTACGTTTGGAAGGTTCAACTATGTGTTGGTAAACTGTTTATCAACAGTTGAACACATGACTTTACGTTGGAAATCGTGATGGAAATGTGATGGTGGTGTGATGAATCGTGTTGGAAATGTGATGGTGTTATGTTTGGATTTATGGTGCTTGCCTGTCGGAGACCTCTCTATTCATATTCATGCATGCATGTGTCCCATTGGAGCAGAGGGGAGCATTCCGGTCGATAAATTCCGTGACTCACTCATTCCAGACAACGAAGAAGAGATGAACACGCACACCTCCTAAACTTGTGACTCCTCCACCCCCGGATACACACACAATGACGGTACACTGACACTCTCATACACGTTGTTGAAGTGGACATCATGTATACATGCTAGCTGTGACCACCCTTTCGGGGCCATATATGTTTTCTCTCTCTCTCCCTCTCTTCAATTACCTCTCTCTCTCTCTCTCTCTCTCTCTCTCTCTCTCTCTCTCTCTCTCTCTCTCCACCCACACTTGTGACGATGAGGTTGGGAAGTGGGAGCCATATACGAAGACGTTGTAGGCGTATTTTGGTGTAAGTGACACCCACTTCCCAACCTCATCGTCAT